TATTAGCCACTAAGCCACAGGCTCTCCTCCTTTATCGTGTGTGTGTGTTTGTGTGTGTGTGTTTGTGTGTGTGTGTGTGTCTGTGTCTGTGTCTATGTCTATGTCTGTGTCCGTGTCTGTATATATGCCAGGATGTGTGCGTGTTTGTTCAGTAAAGTTCTGCTGACATCGGGATAAAAAGATTTGTTTGTTAGGTCCTTTAGGAGGTGGGAGAATACTTCACATCAGCATAGGAGAGAATAATTGGGGTCTTGGCTAATGAAACTAGGGAAGAATAAAGAACACATGAGCTATACTACTCATCCACTTACTATGGTAGAATTGTTCTTTTAACTGAAGCCAAAACTCCTTTCACAATATATTTAGGGTAGACTAAGTATTTTTCTTAAGGTATACTTAATTAAGTAAAGGTTCATTTCATAAGGTCTATTTGATACATTAACATGGCAGACCACCTGCATGTAACTATAAATCAGATACAGATACCAAAAACAGTAAGTTTATAAGGACAGAAGAGACTGTATGCAGCTGTCCATATTTGCAAATGGTGTCAATACACAATATTTACTCCTTCAATGCATGAAATTATAAATTTTCTCTATTCCCTAAGTTTCATCATAAAAGAAAACTATTTCTTCAGAATTTGATGAAATTGTTTCACATATTATAGGATATTTATGTTTTGAGAACTAGTTTATAGAGAAATACTTCATTTAAGGTTGTCATTTTAAAGAATCTTTTTTTGCAAGAAATCTTATGCATCTGATATAAAGAACTACATTACGAAATGAGCATCAAAGCCAGAAATATTCTGGCATAGAATGGAACACAACATGCTTATAATTTCAACATTCACTTAGACTAAAAGAAAATTTAGAGATACAATCATAGGGATCAGGAGCATTGAGAATATAAAGAAGATATTTTTAACTCCATTGTAACGTCATGCTCCTTCCAAGCTTTCATTCCATGGCTTGAAACTTAATACTATTTTACATCTTATATGATAAGAGTTTTCTGAATGTCTCCTCTAATTCAAGAAAATTTAATATTCAGGGGGGAAAGCCTTAAGAATGCCAGTCAATAGGAGTTTTGAGCAACTGGAGAAAACAAAGCAGCTTTTGTTTTGTTCAGTAGTCTTTCTAACACTTTGGAAAGCAGACAAAACATTCATATACCGCATCTGCCCAGGTGAAACCAGTAGCAAGATAAATACAAACAAGGGAGTAAAATATAAAGAAGTTGAAGCAGAAACCAGCAACTTGGAAGAAACAATGCAATTGCAAAAGTAACTCAGTATGGAGGAGCAGGTAGTTACTGAAAGCAATTCTAGCAGCTGGGACATTAAAGAGGTATTTGATTCAAAGGAGAGTTTTTGCTTCAATGAGATTGCTGGATGAAGAGAACAGAAATGACACCAACTTAGCAATGAATTAGAAACAAGGAATATAAATAAGCTTGTTTACTTTCTGTCCATGTCTGAGGCTGCAGCATAATGTAAAGCTGTTCGTCCCCAGTCATCAGTTTCATTAATATTGGCCCCCGCGGTTACCAGCATCTCAATACATTGAAAATGACAATTTGCAGCTGCATAGTGCAAAGGTGTCCTGAAAAATAAATAGAAACATATTAGCCAAGACACTACTTGAGAAACAGGGTATGATTATGTTAACTATTTCTGACAGCAACATTACTATAGGGAGAATCCATTTCGAGATACAACAGCAGGATTTAATTGAGTGCAGAACATATTCTTTCTTTTTCTGTGAAGATTTGAAATAAGTACAGAAGAAATGGCTAAGAAGTGAACAAACAAAAAGGGTAGGAAGTGCTATTCCGCTAACTAAAAAAAACAAAGAATAAACCATAATAAATCACTGGCTTATTGTAAAAATAAGTAAGATTTGTTACAAAGGAAAATATTGTACTGATAGATATTTACGCTGTTGTCATTATTGTAGTTAGAAAACAAGATACTCATATGGCCTCTACTACAAGCCCAGTGAAAAATTAATGATTTAATTTAGGGGGGAAATACTTTCAGAAAGTAGGGTAAGTGCACTGTTTCCTCTTCCAGATGTCTAAAAGTTGCTTGGTTAAAGTGCAGAAATACAAGGGATAACTCAGAGTGACTAGAAGAAAGGTACATTTTAAAACAACTCTGATTCAGATACTTGAATAATGACAGAGACAGAGCAATGGTCTATTCTACACTTAATTTTTTTATACTGAATTATTATTTCTGGGCAGCCATACAGATGAATTCTGGTACAAAATGATATAGAACTAAACCAGAGGTGGGTTCCGGTTCCACCACAAAACCGCGGTCGACTAAAGCGCGCTCGACGAAACCGCGTANTAGTCATTCCCAACTCTAGGGGGCAGTGCTCATCTCTGTTTCAAAGCTAAAGAGCCAGCGCTGTCTGAAGACAACTCCGTGGCCATGTGGACGACATGACTAAATGCCAAAGGCGCACGGAACACTGTTACTTTCCACCAAAGGTGGTTCCTATTTCTCTACTTGCATTAATGTCAATTAATTAATTACTTGCATTAATACAATGTGCTCCAAAGAAAATTGGAAATCATGGTGAAGCTCAGTTAGGAAAACTGTGGGCACGGGTTCACTTCTTCCTCCATGCACATCTCATTTACGTCTTTGGAAGAAGAAGAGAAATATAATTACAACTTCCTCCTTGAAGTATTTGCCAAGGCTTTTCGACTTCTGCAATTGCACATATCCAGAATTTGCTATTTGACCATTTTCAGGTGCCAGGAATGCATCTGAAAAATTTGGGGGCACTATAAGCAGTAGCCTGTGTTACTGCTGGGCCTGACAAAAAAGGGCTTTCTCCCCTTCCATTAACCATGGGACAACCATACTGCACAAAATCCTTCTTTTTTGGGGACTTCTTTGTATACTATTGCCTTCCTCTTGTCTTTGATATGTGAAACAACTTTAATTCCCCCCTGCTCTACTATTATTAAAGCAGTGTTTTCAGCTTAAGAAGTCAAAAACCTGCTTCAGTTCAATCATGAGTACACCCTGGGGTACTTCCCTGACCATTTTAGAGGTGGTCCCATTAAGTCGTGTGTAGGATCAGCTCACCAACCACTGGCTGTTCCTGGGCAATGTCTCTCCTGCAAGCTATTCTGGTGGAGAAGACTCCAACCCTTGGGTCTCACCTCTTTTGTCAGATCTCAGAGTCAAGCCCTGATCCAGAGACTTAGTTTTGATTGGGAGATCAACCTAGATAGCAATTAATTGGGTGTGAGAACAAGGCTACTCAGCCAATCAGGAGGCCTGGCCCTCAATCTGGAGATTTTCCTATGCTCTCTCCATAGTTTTAGCAGATTGAAGTAGCTTTTCCTGACATAAATAGGTGTTTCTGTGTTTAAGGGATAGTGTAGGGCTGCTATAGGGAGAACCAGCTCTGATTCCTGCTTCACTGGACAACTGCCCCTTCCTCTCAGTGCTAATTAGCTCGTTGTTGGGCTCCCTTTGAACTTTAGTGGGGCAGTAAAACTTCATGTTCCACAATAACCCAACTAACAGCTCTCCAATAGAGGAGCTGGGAGCTGCATAACACTCTCTCTTGTTGTACCATACAGCTCCCATCATAAACCAACAATTAGTGAGGCTAGATGCGTTTTATTGATCTGGTGATACGGTTTTGAAGATATGCTTTATTGTTCTTTTTTAATTGTACACTGCCCAGAGACACCTTTGTCAGATGGACGGCTACATAAATCTGATAGATAGATAACTAAACAAATAAAGCCAGGAGTGCATTTTGGCAAGACAGTTAAAAAAAGCCCTTCTATCAAAACTCCCCTGCTCCCTTCTCCAGTCTCCCCAGAAAGGAGCATTATTAGTGAATACCCTCCCACTGTCTAGAAACAGTTTGTGAGAAGGAAAGGCAAAAACATCAGGCCAGTTCATTAGTCCCCTTCCTCTATTTGCTGAAGACACCACCATTTGCATGATAAACCAGATCAGACAGGATGGCTGCAGTAAGAACAGCAAGTTTATGCTGATAGTTTTCTTCCAGCTAAGCAAGGACTAGTGGATCGTAGTTTAAATTTAAAATGAGGAAAGGAACTTGTCCTCTAACCCATTTATTTAGTTTGCCCCTCCATTACTGAACCATGAAGCCAAGACATATCATTACCATCCCTTCCATATTTTGTTTGTTTAAGAAAAGAGAACATATGCAATTGATAAATCAAAGATAGGCATTATTAAGTTAGAGCTCTGGATTCATTATCATAGGCCTAAAAAACTAAAAAAATGGTTGTTTAATGCAAAAGGAAGTAAACGTTAAGTTTGTGGGATCTATTTGATTTATTAGAGCTCTAAGATCCAGCAATCAGAGATAGAAAGCCAATCATCATGGAATAAGGGCAGCTGGGAAATATATAAAATGAAGAAACTGGGTCATATAATACAAGCCACCTATTCCATTTCCTACAACTCACAGATCAGTTTTTAAATTGGCAGTAGAAAAAAAAATCACAGGGCAATTTTTATGCACGTGAACAGCACATGCTATCAGTGACACTTGCAATTAAACAGCTGGATTTTCCTAAAGCAAACAAAGTAATGTTGCCTAAGAAAGAATAGGACTTTTACCTCATTGTTCATTGCATGGAAACCTTGCCATTTACCATATGGTATAATCACATTCAGAACTGATATTTCTACTCATTTTGCTATTAAAAATTAGGTTATTTTTTTTAACCAAAAGAAAATTATAGTTTACAAACCACTGGTAGTTTGGGCTGGTTTCATATATTATAACAATGCTAAGCCATATAAATCACATTCTCACTTTGCATGAATCCAGCCGTTTTTATACCAAAGCTTATTGCTAGGAGAAGAATGAGACTTGATACTCTTAGATTTGATATTGTATTTATTGTAGTGCCCTTGGAGACAATATTAACTTTATCCCTTCTAATTTTAGGAGTACTATTCTGTCCTTTTTAGTATGTTGCACAAACTGGCTAAAAAGGGCAATAATAAAAGCAAGACCACAGAAAGTTTATAAATACCGTATATACTCAAGTATAAGCTGAGTTTTTCAGCCCACTTTTTGGGCTGAAAAAAGCCGCCTCGGCTTATACTCGAGTCAGTGAAAAATGTGCCCGAAATGGAGGAGAAAAAGGGGCAGGGCCATGCCGCTAGGTGATGCTTGTGAATGGCCCGGCACCCCTGTGAGTTTCCCCTC